AATCTCCCCCTAAGTATGAAAAAGTAAATTTAGACAAATGGGTGCAAGAAATGACTAATGAAAGAATACAAGAGGAGATTAAACTCATCCTCTGAAAAAAGAATTACATAAATGAACAAATTGAAAATTGATAGTACAGGCCTATACTATTACAAGATATTAATCCACAACAGAGTCTGGATAGTCATCTACGGCAAATTGCAGATCAGACTTGATGGTTTTGTAGACTTTGAATATCCATTCTCTGAAGGAGACTTGAACTTTGATCGTTTCCAGAAGRTKGTTCACTTCATCCGCCCTTAAATGCCTTCTCTGCACCTCTATCACCACTAAGTTGAACACCCACTCGAGAGACTCTGTGGAATATTTGTGCGTCTCTTTGGGATCAAAGAACCTTAGAATTTCTTCCTTGTCCAGGAATATAAACCCAAAGATGGGATTGTGGACAATGGTGTTGGGATGAAATCTAAGCAACCAACTTGGTCTGTTATTTGGAAGGGAAATTTTTAGCTCTGGCTGGGCCAACCTCATCGCGATCTCAAAATCTTTCTGGCTATAAAACTTGACTTTAGCGCGCATTACCTCAATCAGCCTTCTGAGAGAAATCGAATATGTTGACCTCCTCTCCATGTATTTGTTCAAGATCTTGTGAAGGAAAATTAGATCAAATACACAGAGGTTGTGGAGGTCAGCATCTGTGAAAGTATATAGGTTGTCGTCATCCCTTTTTACCACATATTGAGCATATAGCACGGAGATATTGTTTCGAGAGAAGTGATCACATGCTCTGAGAAGACTTGCTCTGGTGGCCTTGTGAGTTTTGAGAAGTGGAACTTTGCAATGGCAGAGGGCATACCTGTAAGCTCTGGGTCATAAAGGGGCTCTGTGTCCACAGCTGAGTAACGCCACCGCAGAATCTTCTCAACAGTGGTTACGGGCTCTGTGCGTACCTTCTACGTAGGAATCTTGCTCATAGAATTCAAGTATCTCAGATACCCTCCCCACCGTGGCAGATTCTGGCGTTCTGGATTCTTCTTCTAGTATCGGCCTCTGGATGGACCCCTCTGGTAGGATTGGCTTGACAGTTCCTTCCAGAGCGTCAAATGTACCCGTGGACGTTTCCTCTGGAATCTTCGCCATTTTAGAGGAAGAGCCTTCTCCAGCTCTAGGGATGGAGACTCTGCCCTTTCTTGCCTGTGCCTCTGCCAAAGTCGCCTTTAGAGCTCAAACAAGATCCGGGTCATCATACTCTTCTTCATTGATCTCCTCTGGCGATTCAGAGTTTGACCCCGGCGACTCCTCTACTGCTTTACCCTTGCCTTTCCCCTTAGGCTCTGGAGATTTGTCTTTAGTGAATAGGGCAGTAGCAGAGTCCACTATTTTTAGTGGTTTGGCAGAGTTGTCTTCTTTGGTTCCTCTTTCTTCTTCTCCCCCTCATGACGATCATGGTCATCACCTCCTTGATCGTCATGGTTTTTAGTGGACTCTGCCTTGCAAGTAATAAGGGGAGCCTTCTTCAATCACTTTAAAACTTTGGAAGCCGCCCTCTCCATCTTTTGAATGACCTCCTCAGCAATCACAGAGGCAGTGTTGATATCCATCTCTGT